ACAGTTGGTGACTTCTGTGCACTGTGCTCTTCAGCATGTGCTGACCCCGCTCTGTCATTTTACATGGCCTGCCACTTCATGGCTGAGTTGCTGTTGTTCCCAGTTGCTTCCACGTTGTTATAATATCAGTAACAGTTGACCAAGGAATATTTAGTAGTAAGGAAATTTCACATATGCACAGGTGGCAACCTATCACGGTATCACTCTTGAATTCACTGAGGTCCTGAGAGCAACCCACGCAAATGTTTGTAGAAGCAGTCTGCATATCTAGGTGCTTGTTTTTTTTACACCTGTGGCCGTGGAGGAGATTGGAACATCTGAATCCAATGACTGGGAAGGATGTCCCAACTCTTCTGGCAATATAGTTTAGATGTGCAGTGCTGAACATTTTTTGCAATCAGAGTGAAACTTCATGTATAAATAAAAAAACATCCAAATAAAGTGCACAAAATAGTGACCATGACAATCACACTATTGGTGATAAGTATCAGAAAACATATATGTATACCAGTCCATATACAGTCCTAATGTGTAGTAAGACAATAACGTCAGTGCTGTAACAGTGGATACATTAAACTCCAGTGCTAATAATCAAGAATGTTTAGTGTAAAGAAGAGATCACCATAATTTTAATATCTCCACCAAAGACAGGACAAACAACACAAACTGCTTACCAAACTGAACTGACCCCCAAAGATTGAGTGGTCAAACAAATTTTCTGAAAACAGACTGGCATCCCAGTCAAATATTGGTTCTCTGCTAGTAGGCAAGTATCTGACTCATCAGAGATGATGATGGGACGTGTGGCGTCCTCACGCAAGCTACTGTGGATGGATTACTGGAGTTGTTCTTAAAGTGTGCTATTTGATATACACACTCTTCTTATATATCGTGTGAGTGCATAATTTTAAACTTTTAATAAACTGGATATCGGATACTTTTCCTCGGTGGAGATTTGGAAATCTAGGTGACCTCTTCTTTGCACTAAAGGTTCTAGATTATAAGCACTGGAGTTTAATAAGTTCACTGTTACAGCACTGAAATTGTTGTCTTACCACACATTGGGACTGTATATGGACATATATATTTAGTGAGTGGGTATATAGATAGATACAGTGCTGTGAAAACATATTTGCCTCCTCCGTGATTTTTTTATTTTGTTGCATATTTGTCAGACTTAAATGATTCAGATCATCAAGCAAATTTTAATATTACACAAAGATAACCCAAGTAAATTCAAAATTCAGTTTTTAAATGCTGATTTCATTTATTAAGGGAAAAAAGCTGTCCAAACCTGCCTGGCTCGATGTGAAAAAGTAATTACTCCCTAAACTCCCTGCTGCATAACCCCAATGCGCTTGAGCTTGAAGTTACGCATGATGGCCGGACAATCTCCTTTTCATTATTTTCTGGTAGAGTGCAGAATTCATGGTTTCATCAATTAAGACAAGTTGTCCAGGTCCTGAAGCTGCAAAGCAGTCCCAGACTATCAAACTACCACCACTATGTTTGACTTTTGTTATGATGTTCTTTTTATGAAATGCTGTGTTAGTTTAACACCAGATGTAACGGGATACAAACCTTCCAAAAAGTTAAACTTTTGTCTCATCAGGCAACAGAATATTTGCCCAAAAGTCTTTGGGATAAGATATTTTTTGGCAAAAGTGAGATGAGCCTTTGTGTTCCTTTGGCTTTCACCTTAGAACTCTCCCATGGATGCCAGTTTTGCCCAGTCTCTTCCTTATTGTTGAATCATGAACACTAACCTTAACTGAGGCAAGTGAGGCCTGCAGTTCCTTAGATGTTGTTCTGGGTTCTTTTATGTCAACCTGAATGAGTCGTCGTTCTGCTGAGTAATTTTGGTAGGCTAGCCACACCAAGTTTTCTCCTTTTGGAGATTATGGCTCTCATGGCTTGCTGGAGTCCCAGAGCCTTAGATATGGCTTTAGAACCCTTTCCAGACTGATACTTTTCAATTACTTTGTCAGATTTGTTTTTACAGGTCTGACAGTAATCAGGCATGGGTGTGGCAAGTGAAATTTACCTTAGCTTTCCAAAAATGTGGTCTGGACAGCTTTTTTTCTACTTTAATAAATGAAATCATAGTTTTAAAAACTGCATTTTGTATTTACTCGGGTTATCTTTGTGTAATATTAAAATGTAGTTTCATGATCTGAATTATTTAAGTGTGAAAAATATGCAAAAAAAAAAAAGCATGAAGGGGGCAAATACTTTTTCACAGTGCTGCAAGTATGTGACATACTTGTGGGATCCCCGTGGAAGTTGAAAATGACTGTTGCAGGCACTACTACTACATCAATTGCCGCTAATTTCCAGGTCCTGTGCTGAGCAGCTGCCCTGTGCTTATTGAAGACAGGAGGTCCCTTGTTTGGCATGGGCGCCATTCATTGAACACTTTGCTGTTTTTCAATGAATGCAGATTACCAGTTAGAGCTGCCTGTTACTACTATTATGGGGAAAAAAATGGAGGTAGGGGTGTGGGGGGAAATGATTATGGAAAATACTGTTGTGCTGTTGCCAAAAAAAGCCAAACGGGACAAAAGATAGTTCTGCTCCTTGTAAACCGGTCCTAAGTTACCTAATACACATATGAAAGTGAACAAAGAAAGGGCACACTCATCTAAATGTAGACTGTAAGGTAAAAGTTGGAAAGAAAAAAAGTAATGTACTCACTACATCTAGTGTGGAATGAGCATGTGATTCGTTGTGGAGGATCCCCAGACAGCTGATGAAACCTTGCAGAGATTGGCAGGCATGCGGCCGGACTTATCAGAGAAGCAGCTGGAGGTTGACGCAGGAGCTGCCAAGTTTCAGCATGGAGGCACAAGCCTTCTCCCACAATTGGACGGCTTTGGGAGACTTGAGGAATCACCATGGTGACTTTAACAGTCTACATTTAGATGGGTGCTCCCTCTCCTGTTTATATGTGCACTAGGTAACTCAGGACCTTGGATTATGAGGAGCAGCCCTATCTTTTCCATTTATATATTGACTTCCTAGCGGCATTTGCCTTGGTGTTGTCCTAGCTTTTTCCCTACACATATCCATGAGCCACCAGACAGTGCCATAGTCTTCATCCTTTTATAGCACGCACAGTACATACACTAGTCCAAGCTGGACCAATATAGCGATGCAAAAAATTGCCATACCTAAACTTCAGCTTTAAAGCAGACCTCCAGGCAAGCAACTAAAAATGCAGCTAAAATACATGTATAAATATACTGTATGTTTACTATTTTTGTTTTTCCAGTCTTGTGAAGTACGAGGTATGATAATTTAATTCCTGGAATACCTGCGGTGTGTAGTACTATGGTGGTAGGTCACCAGCCATTTGAAGTCAAGCATGTTCTGACATGTACAACTTGGACTCGCCTGGGTCGCAGACCAGTTGATTCAGTCTTTATGGAGTAGTAGTAGAAATAACACATGTGCATTGCTCTCTTGGCAGAAAATGAGTGACAGGAATCTGGAGCAGAGGATTAAAGGATAAGTTACCTTTTTCTAACATGTTAGATGACAGATTCTAACAGAGGATTTGGGAGTGAGAAAGATTTCCGTAAAGATAGAGCCTTGAATCTTGACAGAAGATGAGGAACGTTGTGTTCAAATTTCCTCTGATCTTTTGAGGAATGCAGAGGTGTTTGATAGGGTTGCTACCAGTCTATTCTGGGAATTAAATTGTCTCACCTTTTACACACTTCTCCCACACTGCACTGCTAAGCAAATGACACACACATTTCCCGTTACAGAATGAAGCTTCATTTGCCACCTCTCAATCAGCTTGCTCACTGGAAAATGATTTAGCATCGTTGGGGAGGTGATCCAGAAAGTAATAACATGATCTTCCCAGGGATAGCATGATCTCCAATCTCCATGGCTGTGCAATATGCAGAATTTGCAAGACTGGCCTAACAAAATTGTGAATCTTTTGGAAAACTAAATAAGTAACATAGTGTAATTCTACCTTATATTCAGAAATTTGCCTGGTGATCCGTTTTAATTGTGTAAACTAAAACTGGAAAAAAACAGAGTATGGTCACCATCCCTCCCTGCAGTCCCTGGACCCTCACCTCCTTTAGGATCTGCTGCTGAATTTTCCCCTGAGATTTTGAAGTGTCCTTTGTGCTTTTTCACTAGTGTGTTATGATAAATACACCTCCCTTTTTAAGATTCTACTGTAGATTTTATTACCCTATTCTGCATCTCTTGTTGAAAGCGAATAGTAAAAATGGCATTATCTAGGGCATGTTGGCACATCTACATCTCTGACATACTGAAGATTACAAAGGATGGTCCCGGTCATATCTTTAATGGGGTCACATCACTTAGTGCACATTACATTTAATTATGCTAACAGAATCCAGGTTTGTGGGTCATAATAACCTGCTAATGGATAACTAATGATAGCAGCCCTCCTGTCATAGATACTGTATAAGTTATGTATGACTGCTCAAGGATAAGGAAGGTAAAGATGTAGCTACAAGTCTGCGTACAGTATATGGAGAAGATTAAAAGAAATATAATCCACAAAACAGATGTTTTTACATTTTGTAATGAATGAATGGACAAAATGCAGGAAGTTCATTGATCTACACTCATTGTACCTGACGTCAATACATATTTTTACATGCACCGTTGAGGCTGGCTCCTTTAAGTCTGTGCTTAAAATATCTGTAGTGAGCTCCCACACAAAATAATGGTCATGAAAAGTAGATGATGTCCAGGTAAACTCAATCTATCAAATGATGAAATACACCAACACTCCATGAGGCACACTCTGGAAAGATATACACACCAGTGTGTCATCCTATGGTATTCATTAAAGAGGCACTCAAAATGCTTTCCAGACTTCTTTAGTAATTTTTTTACCTGACCAAGGTTTTACTAGACATGTATATGGCAATATTGTCAAAATGTAAACCAAATATTTATTCTTAAAAGACTTTTAGTGATTGTGTTTCAAATCTCTGTTTTTATAGGTTTCCTCCATTTTTTGATGACAATCCGTTTGGCATATATCAGAAAATTTTGGCTGGCAAGATAGACTTTCCAAGACATCTAGATCTTTATGTGAAGTAAGTTCCATCCTCACGTATACATGATTCATTTTAACATTCAACAAAGGGTACGTTTATTCGATCTATCATTTACTGCTCTTGATGCAGCAAGTAATGTCTCATTTCTTCAGTTGGATTCTCCATGATGTGAAGTGAACACAAAATTGCTTTGGAGTATTGTGTACTGTAGGTGGAAGGTTATTGGGTTGAAAAGCTGCCCTTTTGCTTCTTGAAATAACTAGACAATCTTTGAACTCTATTAGACCTCTAGTTCTCAGGGTCAGGAAAGACTGATAGTTTAAATAGGGTACCTGTAAAAAAAAAGAGAAGTTCTACACTAGGTGGGGAAAGATATTGGAAAAATGCTAGGCAGGTGAATCCTCACAATACCCACTAGATACAATGCAGATTTACTCCCCCATCTTAATAAAATGCTGCCTATTCCACAGAGAGAATAAGAACCATTGAAATGACTGCTAGTGATAAGCGGAGTATAGCAGAGATCTTGTGACTGGAGTACCTGAGAGATAAAGGAAAGCCACAGGGTGATCCACCTCTCCACTGCTTGAATCGGCTGTGTAACAAATAACAGCCAGTATCTTGTGCTCTGGCTGCCCAAGGGTGATATCATTCACAACTTCACAGTTTTACAATGTATGGAGATAGACAAGTTGCTTCATTTTTATGGGTAGACCTGTTATCAATGAAGCTTACATTTTTGACCAAGGTGTGTGCTTGTCTTTTGAAATTGTAATCTCTGCTAGAGTAGGGACGGATTGCCATCATATATATTGTAAGCAGGGCAGTCTAAAAAGGTATTGGCAGCAGTAAACTATGCAGGATACAGAGACACCTAGGAAAAGTCCAAGCAAGTTTGTCCTGTATTTTTTTCAGCTAGGCAGCAAATACAGTTTTTAAAGCAGGAGTGCTTTGTACTCCATGTATTCCATAGCAAAAAAACAAACCATATATTTGCTTGTCTGGGCCACTAGCTAAGCATATGTCAATTTTTACGAACAGGGTACTTCCTTATGGACTCTCTAAAACAAACAAGCAGTGGATGTATCTTTTTCGTGTTCTGTCAGCAGTCAGCTTTTTCACACAACAGCAGGCTCCCGCAGCAAGAGAGAGCACTGTGCATCAGTCAGCCCACATATAAATGCCTGTGCACTGCTAAGACAAAACGTGGTCTGGTTACCAGATGAGACATTGACCTTGGAATGCAGACTTTTCCAACCCAAAGTTCTACAAAATCTATTAAATCTGGGAAAACAAAACATTTTTCTCCATAACTTGCACACATCCTGGAACCCCTCGCTATTTGTCGGTGAGAATCCTAGGTGACACATATACACCATTCACAATTTGATAATCCCCAGTGTCTGATAGTAATTGATTTTGCTAAATTTATGTATAAACCATACATCTGAAATACAGTAACCTTCCTTACACATCTTTAAGAGAGAGTACAATTTATTTCACTCATAACTAACCTTTGGACTAAATTCTTCCTCTAATAGCTTAGTAAGAGCTCATATGGTACTCTTCAATGTATTGAGTATATCAAAATATAGGAAACCAGGCAACTACAGGTTGTACACCATGTGAATGTCCGTTGAAGTCACCTGGACAATATGAGCAGCAGTTTCTCAAGGTCAATGATAAGAAAGAAAGAAATAACGTGATGTCACAATTTGTGGTCTTCTGAACTCACCTGTGCTGCTGTAGCTGACTCTCTCATGAATCAGTGTGGTATTGGGTCCCAATGCTTGATTCCTGTTCATCTTTCCCTGCCCAAAGGATTTTGTCTTCTCTAGAAACTTGTACCAAACCCTACACTGTCTGTTTTTAGGTGTTTTCAAACAATCCATCTTGACCTCTTGCTTTTTTGACTTTGATCTTGCCTTTTATTCTGTACCACATCTCATTGCTGTCAGATGTTGCCAATCCTGATGTATCTGAAGGCCACAACCTGGGAGTTAAACACCACAAAGCTCATTAACCCTTGTGGGGTGTGCTGGTGAATATAGGGAGTGTGTTATATTTTGTGCTATCAACCTTGAGGTGCTTCACTCATCGGTGACATAGATGGTCCACTACCACCGTGACCCTTGACAAGTTAACCCTGCTCTATAAAAGTTATTGTATCTGTGCACTGGTTATGACTTACAAGCTTGAAGAAGCTGTATGTAGTCTGAAATAAATGACTCTATTTGATTGACTGTATCTTTACTGTAAACCAGTGGTTTTGTATTCACAGTTCGCCACAGGGGCATAAATGTTTTTCATAGCTTCACCTCCTATACTTAAATGATAAATAATCCCCTTATTTTGAGGGATTTATGAAAGAATGAGACTTTTAAATGCTTTCAGTTCTGGAAAGGTCAATAATGGATCTGGTAACAATACCAACTGAACGTTTATAATCGGTTGTCATAATTTGTAGCCTATTTTAAAGCCCAGATGATTTATGCACTCGATTTGTTATGTGTTTTTGACAGTTATAGGTCAGTATTTATCATTTGCACAGTGCACACCTACATTAAGATTCCTGATTTCCAAATTTATGATGGCACTTTTTATAATGTTGCACTTGATTACAGTACTTCATCAACATTCTTTAAGCCAAGGAAACCCATTTAGGGCAGCCTTTTAATATCAGCATTTAGTTTATGTTTAAACCCACTTACAATCTATACATAACTTGAAGGCTTTCATATCTGGTTTGTTGCCAGTGTGTAGTAATATTACAGAGTTCCTGAACCGAGAAATAAGTACAGCACGTTACCATAGATCAAGACTGTAAGTATTAGAAGTTTTGGAACATCATTTGCAAGGTATATCTGGTTTGAATTTGTTTTCTTTTAAACTAATGATTTAAGTGTCTCATGGGAATATTGAGGGGAAATAATCAGAAACATTTCGGTACCAAGCAGTGAATGAAGTCATGTGTTCCTGGGCCAGTATTCAAGTTTATGATACATGAGTCAGCTTCTCATCATTTTAGGTCAGTAGAATGTATGTTCTTCCTTGTCTTTGAGGCAGATTTATTAAATTTAGATTGCTAATTACTATTATGGGTAACACAAAGTTTACCATTTATTCATTCTTTTGGTTGGTCCAAAGTAATCATAAAGGTATGCCTATGGACTGTGCAGGTAGAGCACATGGCTCTGGTACATCTATGCAGAAGGTTTTTCTGATGCATTCGATCCATAGATTTCTTGTTCACGTATTTGTTTACTTAAAATTTTCGTATTCTTTAAAGACTCAGTAAAACCTTTTTATTCATTAAAAGATTAGTAATAACTTCCAGAATCATATTCTTTAAAGCTCCAATAGAGAATTTTAAGTTGTGTCTCTGTGATTTAAAGGTAAAAACCACATATTGCTTGATGTTGTTAACAATGTTGATCTACCGACAAATTAACTAAAGAATATAAGGGAGGTGTTTTACACGCCAGAAGATGTGTATTTTTCCATGCACTCCCGAAATTTACAGATGTACTACACACCACACTCCTGTCTGGAATGGCAGGAGACTTGATTTTTTTTTTTCTCTACTGCAGCAAGGTAACACTTACAAGTCTGGTCCCTCCCCCACCCTGCGAATGTACAGTTAAAAAGCAGAAGACTGATGAGCTCATCTATTTTTCATGCTCATTTCCTCTATATGCATGTTCTTTGCTAGCACACAAGCACTTCAGCACAACTGATTGGCTTCTTGCACTGCTTCTCCCTGCCTCAGAATGAGCTTTGCTGTATAGGGGACTGAAATACAAGTCAAATTCCTGTACTTACAATGTTTGCATTTAAAGACATTGAATTTAATGATAAATAAATACAAAGATGCATCAATGTGTGTTTTAGACTTGCCTGGAGTTGAGCTTTAAAGTGCACCTATTAATAACTTCAAAAGTCTGCAGGAAAGAGTTCTAGTATTCAGTGACGGCAGACATTTTCCATAAAGCTGTACCTTGATCATTAAGAAGCAATCCTTTAGCTCAGTTCAGTTAAATGTGCCTGGATAGAGACGCCACCTAGAGAATTATGTCATCCATCTGCTGCAGGAGGGAGGATGATTTCCTCAGTTTCCTCTCCACCAGTAGGTGCCCTCTAGAACTATTGTAACCTCTGGCCTTCTAAGAGGCAGAAGCAGAGGGCCAAGCTAGTTAAACCAAGTGTGTACACAGCTAACAACAAAAAGAATGTTGTGCAGGTACCAGAATTAACATGGTGTAATCTATATGTCAATATCCTACTCAAAGTACATGCTGACCTGGGAAGATGCCTCCACAGAGATGTGGGATATAGATAGATTAAATCATTGCCAGGATGTGTATTGTGGTCACTTCAAGAGGTAATAAGGTTACCTTCTGTAAGTAATGCTGCAATTACATGCGTGCTGTTAACATGAAAAGAAATGTGATGCTAGGTCCATTTAAAGGCTAAAAGCTTTAACAAAGAGATTCTACCTTCTACACTATTCTTCTACAGTGCCCTTCTTCTACAGTGTCCTTCTTCTGTTGGGTTACTTGGCAGGATGTCCATTTAAAATTACTGTATGAGACGAGTATGATGGGAGGGCATTACTGGCTATGTTTAAGTACATTTAGGTTGCAAGCAAAGCACAAGCATGCTGTAAGTGAGTGTCCGAAAAGTATCAGAACTGTTTTTTTTTTTTTTTCTATGCTTGTTCTGGATCAGTGACAAAGACCGCATTGATGCCAAATCTTTAATATGGTATCCAGGGATGCATTCTCAAAAGGAAAGTTTTTTTAGTAATCATATCCTTCTTTATTCTGTCATGGCCCCTTTTAGTGTAGGGAATGGCTCATAGTTTCTTCAAGGACATCTCCATCCAAATGCCCAACTGTGTAACTGAAGCACAGAAGCTAACATTCAAAAGTTTGGAATCACCTAGGAAAGTTCATGTTTTTAACAGGAATACTGTAGATGCTTTTTCACAAAGGTAATGTTAGTTTGATCAGAAATTATAGTCAATGTATAACAAAGAATGTTTTGTCAATATAATTGTTTTCTTCACTGAACTTTAAAGCAGAACTAAAGGGTGAATATTTACACCTGTCCAATGGTCCCTCACCGCATTCTTCTTCAGAGTGCCAGTTTTTAGAACTCTTCACTGGCCAGAGGGAATAACGTCACTCAAGCGCAGGAGCTAGTCATCCTGGCACTCAAAGACTGGCCTGCTACTGTAAGCTGAGCTGTACATGCACAGCTCAGTTTACAGCTCCAGAGAAGATAGCGAGCAGGCAGGTGCTGGGCATTTCAATGCGGAAGAGACAGTTCTGCAATAAAAGCTTGCCTACTCATTGTTTCTAACAGCAGAACTTCAGTTCTCCTTTACATTTCTCAGCAAACCTTCTATTTGCATTCATTACAGCTTGTAGACATTCAGCATTTAGTGAGATATTCAGTGAAAATATCAACCCTTGCATTCTGTAGCTCTCCCCCCCCCTTGGGGCTGCTGGCCTGTAGAGCACTTTTCTGACTAGTCTTGCTTTTCCCACAAAAGCTTGATGTTGCTGACTTCTGGCACTTGTTATAGGCAGTCTATCTAAGATAACACTCCCAGCTTCATATTTTTTTTGACAATTAATGTTTTAAATCCTGTCGGCATCAAAGCAGCCCCATGTCATTACATGTCCTCTGTCATGCTTTACAGAGGACACCAAGCACTAGACCAGCCTCCTTTCATTTGTTTTATGTCTAATATATTATCCTATACTTGGACCACACCTCCAACTTAACTTCTCCATCCATAATGCTACAGTATTTTCCGGTCAAGTCTGCTCTTTGCCCATTTTATCCTTTTCATTTTTTTGGCAGTTTCATGGATTTTCCTTTGGACCACCATCTCTAAGCCAGTATTCCAAAGTTTTCTTTTCATTGTTGCAGGTGGCATTGTCAGACGGCTGCTGGTTTAAAAAGCATTCCCCAAATAAGGACATTCATTTCTCAAACCAATGTCCTTATCTGCAGTTGTGCATCTTGACCCTTGTTAGATCCAGTTTGCCTTCTTTCTTCAAGGAAGGGTGTTGTGGATGGACGCCTTTTTAGCAAGCCTTCACTTTTTTGTCAATGTTATACACAGAAAACCTTCATTTTACGATACAACAATGGACTGAAATGTTTCTTGTGCAAATAGCACGGGACAAGACCTGTGTCAATCTGCAGATCATATCCTCTAACGTTTAAAAATGAGTTTTTTTATGCTACAAATATTTGCTACAAAATCTTGTACATCTTTAAACACGTAACTATACGAGTGAGGAAACCATTTACCTATGTCATAATGTACTGTAATAAACGTTGGTCACATCTGGCCAGTTTTATTGCAGGAGGGAGAAAATTCAGTTTCCATGCTGTAATCTGCATTCCAGAATTTCTCAAAAATTGAAGAAAACTGTGACAATATTGTCAAAATGGCTTTTATTAACCAATGGGAGTTCTTTCACTTGGGCATCAGAATCATTTAGCCTAAGCTAGAATTTATAAATACTTCTACTGCCATGGCTTGCTGCGTTCTCTATAGCCATTCAGTAATTTCCATGGTAATTCCCTCATACCTGTGACCAAGCAGGAGTAGCAGATTAGCTGACCAAGCCATACAGTGTATGTCTTTGTACAATCCTTACTGCATTCTTAGTTTGTAAAGTGTTATTAATCTCAAAACAATTAAAATAAATTACAGCACCTGACCTCAACACTTACGGTTTCTGCTGTTCCTTTCTTCATAAAAATTTTAGCCAAAATTCAAAAGATTACTGCTCCAAGCCCTAGATCAGAGGTAGGCAACCTTTGAGATCTACCAGACCAACATGAAAGATCCCTGGGGTTCAGTACCCTTTTACTACTTTTTTCTTTTTTTTTTAAATGAATTAGCAAGACCTAAATAAATAGTAAGGAAAACTTAGAAAACCTGTAATAAAACAAGTGCCACTGTAAAATATAAACTTAATCTACCTAGAAGTGGACTGTCAGTCATTCGGGCAGTGGATGGTGTCACGGCAGTGGACAGTGTGTGGACAATGTCAGTAGGGCTGAGGAGAGTGTCAGTCAGTATAGCTGTAGACAGTGTCAGTCAATAAAGCAGTGGTCAGTGTCTGTAGTTTTTTAATTACATTTTTTTTATTATGCTTTACAACTGTATTTTTAATGTTTTACAATTGTATTGTTTTATGTTTTACAATTTTATTTTTTATTTATTTTTATTATTTTTTTTAACAACCCTGTTGGGGGGCTTTGGTGAAATATCAGGGGTTTAAACAGACCTCTGGTGTCTCACTTTTGGGACAGAGAAAGGGGATTGAGGACACAGTCCTCAACCTCCATCTATGCAGCTTAATCTGTATAGAATGAATGAACAGGAAGAGCTCTGAGAAGTCTCCCTCTTCATTCACAAACTGAATCATAGTAAACATAGGTACCGATCACTTATATCACTCATTGTGTTCATTCAGATAACTACATATTTATTAGCCCCTTCCCCCACTCTCCATCCTGAAAAGACTTCCTGCAGGCAGCAGGAAAAGAAAGGAGGGGAAGCCGACAGCGGTGCGGGCGGAGGGGGTGGGTGGTTGAATCAGGATAGCACACAGGGGGCCTGGGCGTCAGAAGAAAGCAGATCCTGGACAGGGGAGGTGGCAGGGTCCTAGATTCTTGAGGGGTTCTGTTTCCTTGCAGGAGCCACCCTTTTGTGCATGCACCCAAGAGGAAATACTCCAAGTTGACATGCACAGGCAACCAGAGAGGACTAGATGGTACATGCATGCATGGGGGCACTAGGAATTATGGGACATGTAGCCCTGAGGAAGGGAGTTTAGGGCACTTTCTGTGAAGTTGTAAATGCATGCTCCCCAGCTGAAAGCTTGGGAGGTAGTGCAGAGCAGGTTGGAGGCTGCAGTTTTAAACACCATGAATTGGGGTTCTTGCCTTTTTCCAAAGAAAACATTTATTGACCTCTGTTTAATTGGCCTAGTCTGATCTAATTACCATAGAAAACGTGAGGCTTTGATACTACTTTTAAATAAAATTGACAAGTTTCTTATTAAATAACTTGTTTTAAATATTGTCTGTCTATATCATTACAGAGACCTCATAAAGAAGCTGCTCGTTGTGGATAGAACTAGAAGACTTGGAAATATGAAGGTTAGTAACGTATACACACAGCTGCCACAATTAGATCTAAACATGCAGTTTTACATACCGTATGTAGCAATGTCAGAAGATGCCAATTGAAAATGGGCATATTTGGGTCTATCAATTACTAACAATGCTAGGTTAAGGTTTTTTTTTTTTTTTTTTTTTTTTAGCTTAACCATTAGCCGCCCGGCCAATGGCCGTTTGCCGGCTTCAAATGTGCCTCTGCACTCCGGGTGCACGCCATTTGGCGTGCTCCCGCACATGCGCAGATTGCGCTAATGCAGAGCGGCGCAGCAGTGCGATCTGTCACCGGCCGTGCACCTCGGACACGGCCGATGACAGATCCGAGTACCGGCTCCCGTTGCTGGTACCATGTGACCTGCTGTGACCAATCACAGCAGGTCACATGACAGTTGTATACAATGGATGGCTTCATTCATGATGCCATCCATTGTATACTAGTGCCTAGCTGTGAATGGCCACAGCTAATCACATGCACATGTCATGTGATTAGCTGTGACCAAATCACAGCTAAGCACAAAAAAAAAAAAAAAAAAAAAAAAGCTGAATGAATCGATTTCATTCAGGTAAATGCTTGCTTATAGCAAAGTAATTATTTGCTATAAGCAAATTGTGTAAAAAAAAAAATACTGATCACTTCCCCAAAGTAGTACAATGTTACTATGGTAACATTGTACTAGTTTGGTCATAGTAAAATATGAAAAAAAAATCTTAAAAAAAATTTAAAAAAATGTAATAAAAAATTAAATATAATAAAAAAATAAAAAAAATTAAAAAAAATATATTTTTTTTTTTTCATACTGTCACCAGTCAGTGTCCCTGTTCACCGCCATGCCAGTTATATGATGACGCTGTACTGCACTGGTGACAGTATGTAAAAAAAAAAAATAGTGAAAATAATTCTTTTAATTTTTTCATTTTCCGAAAAATTATGACAAAAAAATACAACTTCAAAAAACTCGCCATGCCTCTTATGAAGTACGTCGGACTTTCTACTCTGCAAAAAGGGGTCATTTGGGGATATCTGTACTATTCTGACATTCTTGGACCTCAAGAAATTAGATTGGCTGTCAGTACTTCAGGATTGATCAATATTCAGATCTATACCATAGTTTGTGAACTCTATAACTTTCCTACAAACTAAAAAATACATCCTAATTTGGGTTATTTTCACCAAAGACATGTAGCAGAATACATCTCGGCCTAAATTTATGAAGAACAATTATTTATTTGTAAACTTTTATAACAGAAACAAAGAAAAATGTGTGTTTTTTCAAAATTTTTGGTCTTTTTTTGTTAATTTAGCAAAAAATAAAAACCCCAGCGGTGATTAAATACCACCAAAAGAAAGCTCTAGTTGTGTGAAGAAAATGATAAAATTTTAGTTTGGGTACAATGTTGTATGACCGCGCAATTGTCATTCAAAGTGTGAGAGCGCTGAAACCTGAAAAATGGCCTGGGCAGGAAGGTGTAAAATTGCCCGGTATTGAAACGGTTTAAAGCAGAGTTTCGGGTTAAGCCTAACTAATCTTAAAAATACTGCCTTACCTATTTTCCTGACATCAGCTGCATGAAAATAGGTAAGTACAGTATATACATCTTTCTTACACATGTTAGCAAGCATAGAAGTTAGAAGGCGTTATCTCAGAATTGTACTTTAAATAGAATAAACATTTCATAGTAAGCTATTAGGGTTTTACCCCAGCATTTGTAGCTTACATCTTTCAGTGCTGCTTCTCTGAAATGCTTGTCTTCACAGGAAAGCATTAACAGTGGACAGTGCAGTCTCAAGCTAGTCTGTTAGCTTGGAGAAGGAAGGGACTCCCCTTGCTATCCCAGGCTATGGGGCTGTGTGTTTCTGTTGATGCGCACGGTGTAAAGAGACACAACTCTAGTTTTTACACAAGGGTGGCTCCATAGGACGTTGCAAGAGAGAGCCATCCTAAAACAAGAATTACAGCACCATCTTAAATTGGAGCTTAAGTAACATATAAAGAAGTTGCATACTCCGTAAGTGATTAAACCAACTGCTCAACATGAAAAAAACGATGGTTTAATTTCAATTTAAAAAATGACCCTAAGCATGGCTTGGTGTGTGCCTTAGAACAGTCCTTACCATGAGAGGTCTAATTCGTTGTGTTTGTCCTTGAGGCCAAACGTTACCAATCTTCCCATGTTTATAGTATATTTGACCATTTTTGTCAGGAAGCATTGGTGTCTGGCATTCATCTGTGCTTGAGTTGTAGGATTTTGGAATTGAATACAGGTTCAGCATCTTTAGGAGGTAACAGTAATAATTAGCTAGATTTGATGACATCATCAGTTTCTCATTTTAAAGCATTATCTTGCTTTTCTCTTACAATAGAATTCTTCCTTAAACAGTGTGCACGTACTTTATCCTTTTTGCTATAACTCTTTATTTTAGTTATATTTTACACGTTATATATAAGAAAACAATATAAAGCTGGTCTATATACTTTTTATTTATTATAGAATGGAGCAGAAGATGTCAAGCGCCACAGGTGGTTTAGATCAATAGACTGGGATGCGGTACCACAACGAAAATTAAAGGTATGAAGACAAATTAATGTCAGGAATTTGAAAAGTTTCACCTGTACCACAGAAAAGAAAAAAAAAACCAAATCCAATCTCATCACCCACAGAGCTGCTGTAATACACTTACCCGCATAGGGTACACAAGATATAAGTTGGATAATACCAGCTCTCTGAGTATGAAATTCTTCCAATATAATCTAAAAACCGCCATTCATCTTTCTTTTCTATCCAGTATATAAAAAAAATTATACTGTATATATATCAACATAAATTTATATAAAGTATGCTGTAAAAACATTTTTCGTATATACCAAAGTGCTATAATCATACACTTCTAAAATCTGTGCAAAAGGTGCTACTATACCATATGTTCTCCTTCTCCCTTCAAATCTTTCCTCTCTCTCTCCAGCCTTTTATTATTCCCCAGATTCCAATAAACATGTCCTCCACAACTCAGACCCAAAAAGAACATAGACCGAACAGGGGAGATAGTTAAAACAAAAAAAAATCACAACTGCAAACTCATATAGAAAAGTGTATAAATAAAGAGTGCGCTAATTATTCACAAACAATGCAAGGATAAATAATAGAAATAACAAATAAAATCCATAAATATAAACATAAGTCCAGCCCCCATAAACAGTGATAATCCAATATCAACTTAATGTCAATCTTGAAACAAACACCTATGTGCAAATCCGACACCAGATGAAATAAATACACTAAATAAAATAATTAGCGCACTCTTTATTTATACACAATTTCACCTTTTTTGGTTAGAGGTGCTGCTTATTATTTTATTTATCTTGTTATTTTCTGTGGCGCTTCTTATATTTGTTACATCATATAGAAAAAAGTGCCTGCCACTCAGCACCCAGTTGTAAACACTTAGCCACTAGAGGGAGTTCCACTGCGCCACATGCTCACCAGAGAAGCAGAGCGCAATCCAGCCTGAATCCACATGTGGCGTTACAGAAACTCTGGGATGAAGTCTCTGTGACGTCACATCCAGATTCAGAATTCATATTAGGTATGATGGAAATATTTTTATAGCACCAGCACATGTTGTTTTGCACATTGTTGAATATATATATATATATACACACACACACTATATTGCCAAAAGTATTGGGACGCCTACCTTTACACACACATGAACTTTAATAGCATTGCATTCTTAGTCGGTAGGGTTCAATATTGTGTTGGCTCACCCTTTGCAGCTATAACCGCTTCAATTCTTCTGGGAAGGCTGTCCACAAGGTTTAGGAGTGTGTCTATGGGAATGTTTGACCATTCTTCCAGAAGTGTATTTGTGAAGTCAGGCACTGCTGTCGGACAAGAAGGCCTGGCTCAAGGTCTCCACTCTAAGATGTTCCATCGGCTTGAGGTCATGAGTCTGTGCAGGCCAGTCAAGTTCCTCCATCCAAAACTCACTCATCCATGTCTTTTATGGACCTTGCCTTGTGCACTGGTGCGCAGTCATATTGGAACAGGAAGGGGCCATCCCAAACTGTTCCCACAAAGTTGGGAGCATGAAATTGTCCAAAATGTCTTGGTATGCTGAAGAGTTCCCTTCACTGGAACTAAGCGGTCAAGCCCAACCCCTGAAAAACAATTCAACACCATAATCCCCCCTCCACCAAACTTTACACTTGGCACAATGCAGTCAGACAAGTACCGTTCTCCTGGCAACCGCCAAACCCAGATACACATCCATCAGATTGCCAGAGAAGTGTGATTCGTCACTCCAGTGAACATGTCTCCACTGCTCTAGAGTCCAGTGGCGGTGTGCTTTACACCACTCCAGTGCTTTGCATGGTACATGGTGATGTAAGACTTGGATGCAGCTGCTCGACCATGGAAACCCATTCCATTAAGCTCTCTACGTACTGTTGTGCTAATCTGAAGGTCACATGCAGTTTGGAGGTCTTGTGTGATGGACTCTGTAGACAGTTGGTGACTTCTGCGCTTCAGCATGCACTGACGCCTCTCTGTCATTTTACAAGTTGCTGTTGTTTCCAGTTGGTTCCACTTTGTTATAATACCACTAACAGTTGACCGTGGAATATTTATTAGTAAGGATAGTTCACAGATGGACTTATTACACAGGTTGCAATCTATCACAGTACCACCCTTGAACTCCTGAGAGCAAGCCATTCTTTTACAAATGTTTGTAGAAGCAGTCTGCATGCCTAGGTGCTTGATTTTATACACCTGTGGCCATGGGGGTGATTGAAACACCTGAATGTAATGATTTGGAGGGATGTCCCAATACTTTTGGTTTTTGCTTCTACTGTGTGATGAGACACCTAGCAAACAGGTGGGAAGCCTCACTTTCATCATTCACTGTGATTTGCTACTAGTAAAATGGAGTCATGTCAGAGCTTACTAAGCTTCAAAGAGGGCAAATTGGTGCCTGCTTAGCTAGTGTCTCTGTGACTGAAGTTGGCAATTTATTTTCCCCGTTCTGAGGTACAGTATCAAAGGTTATGTAGGCATATACAGTTTCGGGGAAAACGTCATCTGATAAGCAAAAGATGCAGTCAACATGGTCAAATAACCAAAAGGGCCCAAAATTAAAACAACTGCTGCAAAAGCAATTGCAGAGTTCAATCTCAGTCTTCACTGGAAGTCTGGTGGTTTGTTAGATTTTATTGGAAGAATTTCAACTCAAAGCGCTGATATTAACGAACGATTGTCAGGAATTTACACTTTATATTTATTGAATAATTGTAAGATCAACTATATTTTTAGCTGAGATATTCTTACAAAATAATATTGTAGAAATATTAAAGTACACCCCAGGTAAATTGAAAATGAAGCTCTTAAATACAGAGAGCATTCCCCAGTTCCTTATTCTCTGCCATCATGGCAGGCAGACAATTGGCGTTTATAAAAGTGTCAACAATGGCAGCCTACAGGTTTCCTGCTTGTACACTAGTAGATCTTACTGGGAGCTATATCTGAAAATTGAGGAAATTATTTCTGTACTGCAAACACTTCTAGGACAATTACCATTCTATATATTTATAATGGCTTACAGGGGCAGTTGTGCTTCATATCCCAGGTATCTATGCAGTCTGCTGACTTCAGTTATCACGTTTTACCTATTAATACCAGGTCACAATACCATCTCTGTAGCTAAGATACTTCAAGTCACTGAATCAAAGTATGAAAACAGGAAAATCAAACAAAAATCAATAAATCCTTGATATGCATACTTCTACGTCATAGAAATTTATTAAAGCAAATATGTCAGTTTATAGTCAGGCAGCTAGCATTTTCTGAAGCAGATCAGTAAAGGCCTTTATTCCTCTAAAGAAAGGTTTATTTGAAATTAACAATAGTTTTACCCCCAAAATAGTAATATGTATTTCTTAATTCTTTTATTCTGTTCTTTCTGTCACTAGCCTCCAATAATGCCAAAGGTGTCCCATGAAGGTGATACATCAAACTTTGAGGCCTATCCTGAGGATGATTGGAACAAAGCCCCCCCAGTACCTCCTAAAGACCTAGAAATGTTTAAAAATTTTTAACTGGGTAAGAATTGTATCAGATATATGCAGCTTTTTGCACAGAAATGAAGCAGTCCCCAATGTGATTTGATCATTTTCAATGCATAAATGAAAAAAGACCAAACATTTTGAAAAAAAAAAACATCTTATTTTTTTTCTTTCTGTTATAAAACATATCCAATTAAAAAAAAAAAAAAAAAAAAAAAAAATATATATATATATATATATATTATATAGATAGATATAGATAGATAAATTTCTTCATAAATTTAGGCCGATATGTATTCTGCTACATATTTTTGGTAAAAAAAAAAGCTCAATAAGAGTTTGATTGGTTTACGTGAACATTATAACGTCTACAAACTGATGATTGGTGATTACCAAGGATCTCCAACAACTGTTTTGTTTACAAACAGTTCTCCTCCCTGTCAGCTCGAGCACACTGCTGTGCACAGCCATCCAAAGCAGTGTGCTTACAGTGAAAACACACAGACACCGCCCCATAGTAAAACACACCCAGCACACAGTTAACCCTTTGATCGCCCCTTATGTTAACCCCTTCCTGCCCAGTGCCATTAGTACAGTGTCAGTGGTTTTTTTTTTAGCACTGATCACTGTATTGGTGTCACTGGGGATGTCAGTGACACCAAGTCAGTTACCCCCAGTGTCAGAATGTCCTGCTATAAGTCGCTGATCGCCGCCATTAATAGTGAAAAAAAATCCCAGTATATATACCGCCATTTGTAAACACTTTAACTTTCACGTAAAGCAATTTATTTACACGTATTAGGATTTTTTTTTTTTTTTTTTTTTTTTTTAGCAAAGACATGCGCAGAATACATTTTGGCCTAAATTTATGATGAGATTTGATTTTTTTAAATTTTTTTACTGGACGTGTTTAATAGCAAATAAATCAAAAGTATCGTTTTTTTTTTTTTCTCAAAACTGTCGGTCTTTTTTTTTTTGTATAGCGCATAAAATAAAAACCACACAGGCGATCAAATACCACTGAAAGAAAGCTCAATTCGTGGGGGAAAAAAGGATGTCAATTTCTTTTTGGTGCAGCATTGCATGACTGCGCAATTGTCAGTTAAAGTAACGCAGTGCCGTAACACCAAAAGTGTCCTGGTCATGAAGAGGGTAAATCATCAGGAGCGCAAGTGGTTAAAAGGCTCTGTAGTATAAAATGGGTAATACAAAAAAATAAAACATCTAATCTGTTGTGTTTATCTGACTTGATTTGTTTTTATTTTTTTTTCCAGAAAACTATAAGAACAACAAAAACATTAGGAACTTTGTGAATAAAATGGAAATCCACTGTCATCCTTGACAGCTGAATCAATGCGCAAAGAGAAGATACCTCTGTTAGACTTGCTAATGATCAAAACATGACAAGCCATGGCCATTTATAATTACTGAAGGACTATGGACATTTGCAGATTGTACACCTCTCAATGGAACATGACAACAAAATCCTGTTCATTCCAGTACATAGGGTCCTTAGTACTAGAGCATGTGATGCTGATATGGGATTTGTTGCTGACTATCATTGCGTTTTTCTGTAGTGTCAGATCAATTTTGAGCTCGGTTATTGACAAGCAAAATGTGACTAAGCATTTATTTGCATCTCTATTGCAAACCGTTCAACAACAGCAATTCTGAAATGCATAGTAATAACGATGTATTATTTGTAATATAATTTGCCTTTATGGGCTCACACTAGATACTGTAGGTGCTGAAAGGGAATGTGTTCTAATCTTTGCTTTGGAAATTTCATGCACAAAGCAAATTTTTTTTGCTACTTTTTGAAAATTTGCAGGATTCATTTTTCTTTCTCCTTTTTTGTATCTAAAATAAAATATATACAATACAGATATTTAACAGGCAATATACAAAAGAGTGCACATTAGTAGTCATAAGGGGACCTTTTGATAAAGTTCTTGCTAAAACTAAATGATGTACTCATATGATATCAGTACCTGTATGCAGACAAGTACAGTGCCAGCTGCAGTTATGCCACTTGTCTTTAGAGAGCGTTCAAGGAGAAATTTAATCTAAACAAAATAATTTCAAAAGGTCTCTAAATGTGTAGTCCAGGTCCTTCATGTTGGACTGTCAGACACGTCTGAGCAATTCTGTACTGTAGAAGAAAGCAAAAATAATGCCACGCAATAAGTCTTAAGAGTCCAAAGTAAACATGCTTTAATGTAACAACCAGTTGACATGAAACCAAGCAACCAATGCATTTGGGGGGTTAAGCAATGTCCCTTAGTACCTTAGGATGGTACTTCTTATGAACACTGCGCAAATATCTAATTCTCTCTATAGAACCCAGAGTCTGGCCTTTTATTCACATGCATGCAGCACCCTAAACCCTGATGAAGGATGAATTTTCTTAACCCCCAAAACACATTGGTTGTTTTGTTTCATGTCATCTTGTTTATGACCTAAAGGACTTTTGATTTGTATTCTAAGAACCCGTGGTGTGGTGCTACCATTGCTTTCTTCAGCCTAGAACTTTACTGTGGGTGTTCAGTGAGGCCCCCAGTCATGTGAGAGTGAACAAACCAGGGCCATTGAGCTTTACCAATTAGATTCCATTATATGATACTGGATCTCCGTTCGCTAAGGATCCGCTCATATCTAAATCCTTCTAGCAAACAAAACCCAACAGAGATCTTCGAAACCTTCTCTGCTCTATACAAAACCAAGAAAAAATAAGTTTTAGCTTTAAATACACTTTAGTCTTCACATGTGTTTGACTGTAGGAGGCATAGTTATCCCATAAATAGGATGTTTAAAGAGATCTAGGTTTCCTGAAATAACAAATATTGCATAGCAAATTAACTTTTTTTTAAATATTACACTTTTTTTTTTTTCTTTTAGCACAGAGTTTATTTTTTTTTGCGAATTGAGTAAAATCATAGAAAATTTACCCAGTTGCTCATACCAAATATTTGTATTTTACCCATGTTTTTATAGTTCTCTGTTGCATTAATTCTAAAAAAATGTCCCCAACCAAATATCATGGTTTTTCCAAGGACTAAAAGCTTGTTACAGGTTAGGAGTTTATTCAGTAAGCACATTTCCCTAGCCTAAAATCTAAGTCAATACTTTTTCTTACAATCTAGAATTATTGTTCATTTTGTCTACAAAAATGTTTTTTTTTTAAAAAGCACATATTGACTATGTACATAAAAGAATATATTAAGACCTGAGCACAGAACATGTGCAAAGATGTAAATGTTTGTACTTAACAAAGTATAAGTTTTATTTTTTAAATTGTGTTTTTTTTTTTTTCGAAAACTTTGTTCAGGGATGGGCTAAAGGCATTTTTTTAAATTTTCTTTTTCTAAGAAATAATGTTCTTTTACACCTGTGTGTGCGTGTGTGTATGATATATATAGGTATGGTATATAAGAGAGGTGGTGCCTGGTGACATTTAAGTGATTTGTACTTAAATCTTAAAGGATTACAGTCAAGACAAGGCACTTAAGGGGCAAGTGTGATATTGGGTAGATTTAGCATTTCATTGGAGTAATAAGGTACACAGTGTAAAATCCTTGCAGGGCAATACAGGTTTTTTCACTGTGATTCTCAATAACTTCCATTCATTATGGAAGTAGTTAAAGTGAGATTACAATCCAGACACTTGCATTGTCAAGTTAAGTAGCTACTTTGTATCGATCACTTTAATACGGTTGGTTAAACTGATGACTATTTCTAAATTTGCACGTGAAATGTAAAAAGAATCTGCTTTAATGTTTTTTTCTGGTTATATTTTTAAAACATAGTGTTACAGTTGATTTACAAATGTTTTGCTAAAATAATAATGCAAATTGCTGTCATCTTGATTTTTTTTTTTTTTTTTTTTTTTTTGTTCTGGACATTATTTATTAAAACTTATAAAATTATCAACTATATATGAAAGTCAAATTCTATCTGTTTTTCTTTGAATAGATGTAAAAATGTCTCTTTTGCATCCTCTCTTTACAGTGTTCAGAAAATCAGTACATTTATTTTTCAACATACCAACACACTAATAATAGGGGTTGGATTTACTAAATGCAAATAGGCAAATCACTTTACAAGGAATTTTTTTCTTGTGAGAAAAATGTACTTTGCAAAGAATGCCTAGTCAGATGGAAGGACAATAAGAAACTGTATATTGCTTGCACATGATCTAAAACCGGTGGACACAGGCACATGGTATGCCATCCAAGATCCAGAGTACTGAAGCTGCATTTCCCACCGATAAAAGCTGTCAAGATACAGTTTATCTATATACCTTCATTAGCTGCTGTTTTTCATAGGATATTGTTTCACAAACATTTAGGATTGCTCCAGTTCGTTACCACATGCACAATAACGTGTCATTTTGTGCCTTAAGATGTATTGTGTTAAGGCAGCCTTTTCATTTTAATAGGCTGCCAGCACAATACATATTTTACCAGTCCAGCACTGTTATTGTTTTCAGTGCAGCACACTAGAAAAAAAAAGGATTTTTGACTGCAAAATCCATTTTTTTGAAGTACAGGACATGACACAGGTATATTTTTAGACAACTGAGTTATTTGCTGCTACCTTCTGGTGATTGTACACTGGCAAACAAAACTGTAAAGACCCCCTAATAATTCCTCCCACTGACAGTTATCAGTTTTTTTTAGCAAGTAATAAGGATAAACAAAGACCGATAAAAGGGTCCTGTGTCTGTCTTGTACTCCAAGTCTGGAGTACACAGGAGAGTCTAAGTGCACATTAAGAGGAAAGGGAAGAACCTTTTCCTGTAGGGAATTGGCTTGGACAATGACCTGACAAATCGCCCCCCCCCAGCAATGGTGGAATACGAGGATGTGCCCTGCTAGAACCTTCAGGAAGAATATGAAAGACAATTTCTAAAGGAGGCCGTAGCTGAGAGGTACACCATGAATCACATCCAACAGTGAACAGAGTCTTAGGAGCCAGATAGAAAGATGGCAGGATGACATCCTGGTTAAAATGAAAGGAGGAGGCCACCTTGG